GTTCAGCCCCAGATCCGCTCCAAACACCGAGCCAGCTTCTTTCTGTCCACGCCAGCCCGTAATGGGCGCCGCGGCCCGCTGCAGTCACAAGGAGTCTCTCACCGACTCTGGGACCAGCGTTACCCACCCTGACAAAAACCGTGCACAAGAAAACCCCGTGTCCGAGGGGAAAGAGGCAGCGTCTTTCTTGAGGATTGCTTTTTTTGGAAGTTGCTTTGGGCCCTGGCGCCGGGGCCCGGGGTCCAGGCTGAGTGTCATGTGTACGTGGCACGCTGGGATCCCGGCTGCGACCGAGAACGGGCGACACGCAGGAGCCCACCTAGCTACGACCCGGCGCACGTGGACGGCGCGGCAGGACCTTGCCACCGCGGGTGAACGGTCGGGCGCGCAGGCTGGTCCAGGCAGCTCTTCCCAGGGCACGGCGTGGGGGAGCGCGCTGCTGCATTGCACGGCACCCCCACTCCGAGCCGGGCGCAGGGGCCTGGCTCACCCACGATGCACCCGGCTGCACCTTCCCTCCTCCCCGCTCGTTGGTGACATCGTTTGCATTGAACAAATGCGCCGGCACCGGCGCGGGGCGGGAGGAAGGTGCAGGTGGCGCGGCGCGCTCCTCCCAGTACAGAGGCTTTCATGTAATCAGGCGACTGGTAGAAGTCTCCAGTCCCAAGTAATGAGGCTGAGCTGCCCCCGCGCTCGGTGACACGCCTGTGTGACATCGCGCTGCGCTGTGACATCACAGGTGCGCAGAAGCCAGCTCACCAGAGTCTCTTTAGCGACCCCTCGTTAGTGCCCCCTGGCCCTACCCCGCAGGGCCGGGCCGGGCGGCCACGTTGAAGGGCAATTCTCTTGACCGGGGTGCGGATGGCAAAGCGAAGCTTGCCTCAGTTTCGCGGGTTAACGAGGACAGGCGCAATTGAAGTTCAGGCCGTAGCGATGGACGGGGAAGCGGACGGGGGCTGTTAACGGCCTGCTCCTGACACCCGACTCCTCAGGGCACGACCGCGACTTGCAGGGCGCGCTGCAACCCGTGTTCGCCGAGCTGACCGAGAACGATGGGTTCGCAACTCCCTTCTGGGCAAGCGATAGCCAGCTACATCGATGACATCCTCTCAACGTCACACCGCAGGAAACAGGCTTACGGCCCCCTGAAAACCGACATGCAGACGCCAGGGTCACCGTAATGCAGAGCATCTGCTAAAAGGCTCAGTCTGTGAACGTGCGTGGCGCTGCGGGTGAGGCGATCCAGAACCGTGGCACGTAGGGTCACACTGCACGTACACGGAGCGCGTCCCGGCGCTGGCTGCAAAGCACCACTGATCTGTCCAAAACCATACGAAGAACACAGAGCAGACGCCTCGGCCCGCTGCAGACACGACATGACATGACACGACACGACACGCCTGGCCACGCGGCGCGGACCTCGCTTGTTGGGTCGGCAGCGTCCGGGGGACGGAGCACTATAGCACATGCTACAGCAGCGTGGTGTGCTGGCAGCGACTCCGTGGGCACGAGACACGTCTCCTCCCAAATCAAAGACGGGAGCCGATGCCTTTTCTAGTCGGTGGCAAAGGAGCGGGCTAGCCAAGCGCCCCGGGTGGTGGTGGGCTGGAGACGGCCCCAGGGCTGCTCTGAGCTGTCTGGCGCTGCCCGTCCCATCCGTGAGCTGCCCGAGCACGTGGCGTGTCCTGGACAAGCCTCACCTGTGTCCCCCCGCGCCCCACATCCGACAAGCTCCCGGCTGCAGCAGCTGCTTCTGCCTTTGCGCGCTGGGCCGACAACGGGAGCGAACGTGGGGGGGATAAACCCTGGGCAGCTGCTGGGTGGGCTCTCCACGGCGTCTCAGCTCGCCCTCCTCCAGCCCTGCGCCCTGCACTTCGGGCCCGGGCACTTGGGGTGGCGAAGCAGCCTGGGGGCTCATTTGGGAGCGTGCAAGCAAGGCCGTTCACCTGCCTTGCTCCCACGTAGGCAGCCACCCACTCACCCACCCAGATCTGGCCCCGGAGTCATGCTGCTTTGCACGCAGACTCCCGCCGGCCCCCCGCCCGTGCTCTCGGGGTCCAGCCTCCGGGGTCGTTGCAGAGCCGGAGGAGGGTGCGGCAGGGGGACACGAAGGGCTCCGCTGCGTGAGCCCTGGCAGTCCCAGCTGGAGCCGTGGAGACGTTTCAGGGGGCAGCATCCTGCTAACCTGACCGCCGGCGCTGGGGGGCAAAAGGGGAACAGGACGCGGGCAAGGAAGGGGCAAGGAAGACGTCTTGGCGTAGCTAGAAGACGAGTCTTGGAGTGGCGCAGGCTTGGTCCCTACCCGCTAGCACGGCCACTAGCCCTGACCCAGCTCGTCCCGTCCCGGCTCGGGCAGCTACTCCCGTTAGCCCGGGGCGCGATTCGGCTAATCCTTCGGGGAGGGTCCGGTGCCCGTGCGCGTCCCTGCAAGCGTCTGGCACCAGGTAGGCTAAAGCTAACGCACGGGCCCAGGCGACTGTCATGTTTCTCTCCTCCTCGACAGCTCACTCACAATATTTATACATTCGGCTACACCTGCGGCCACCACGTCCGTCTGGTTTTCCTCTCCCCGGCGAGCCCCTTCTTCCGAGCGCCGGCGTCGCGGGTGGGCCCAGGCAGGAAGAAAAGCCGGGACTCGGTTTCGGGGTTTCTCCCTCCGCTCGTCACCTGCGATAAATATTTATGGACGCATTCGGGCTCTCGGCGCCTTCCGCTAAAAATGCCGTACCCAAGCACCGGGGTAGAAATTAAAACCTCTAGTGACGGGAAGTGATTGCAATGCAACGGGAGAGGCAGCCCTCGGCCTGCGCCACTGCCATTCCTCCTCCTTTTTACGCCAGAGCGTCCGCGAGTCGCGAGACGGAGCCGGGAATCTCCTCCGGGTCGACGGCCTGCCGCGCATCTCTCGCCCCTCGGCCGGCCCTGCCGTTCGCTCGCACACCCGTGCAACGGCAAACGCTATGGCAACCAAACAGCACTAGACAGAGGGTATTTTTAGAAAGTGTGGTTTTTTTGTTTTTTTTTTTTTGGAGGCTCCGCGCTCAGAGTTCCCTTTGTGTTACAGGAAAGCTCGAATGGGGCTAAATCCGTTTTTACATGCATGCCGGGGGTCAAAGAGCATGAGGGAACAGCCAGCACGTGATGAGATGATGGCACCGTCCGGGTAGGAGGCTGGCACGCTTGACGGGAGCGCAGCTTGCTGCTTCCAGCCTCCCGCGGGCCGGCGAGGGCTCGACGGGGCACTGTCCGGCTAGCGCTGTTAAACACCAGGGGAAATCGCACATGCAAGGATCTATGAAGAAAATGCCCCCGGAGAAAGCCCTTCAGTCGGGTCCCTGCCCCTGTCTGCAGGCGGTGGGTTGTGATCCGTCACGGCTGCACGATGGCGAATGTGTTGGCTGAAACATGCCTCTTCCGAAGGATGTGGAGACGTCTCTAGCACGCGAGCTCGTTTCATGGCCTTCTGTGCCTGCACCATTGGAAACACACAGCCGTTAGCCAGCGCGGGGCAGCGGGCGCGCCGCCGGGGACCGAGAGGTACTCACGGGCCGCTCGCCTTCTCCAGCATCCTGCACCGGGAGCTCCCGGCCCTCCTGGCTAGGCGTGTCTCCTCGCCCCCACCCCATCCCCACCCCCAACCGGTTCAGCGTGCACAGCTCTCTTGCAATGGTCTAGACTGGAGAACCGGGGAACGTGGAAGGGGGCACACAAATCCTCCTGCGACACTGCTGCCAGGGCTGAGCTGAGTTGGCCCGGACAGATCCACGGACCGCTTTGCACGCTGCTCTCCGGAGCCCGTGCGCCAGCTCCTCTGGGCCATCCGCTCGGACGGCCCAGGGGCATTCCCGCTCGGAGACCGAGTCTCCGGCGTGAAAGCGTGTTCGCTGCTGGCACGGGGCTGCCTGACCGACGGCCCCGGGGGTGTTCATGACTGACCGGAGAGCCACAACTAAGTGGCTCTCCAAAGCCTGCTAGGCTCGTGACCGACCGCAGCCAGCCAGGCCTCACCTGCCCAGGGGACGCCCAGCCGACGTGTGCTTCCTCCTCTTCTCGGAGAAGAGCGGGTGGACGGCAGCCTAACTACACACAGAGCTAGTGCCAGGGGGGCTGACAAAGGCATCCCTGAATATCCTGACCTCAGTGACCCTTCGCCGACTAGTGATCCCCTTGATGCCCCCCACGAGGGGACGGAGAGGACCGGCTCAGTGCACGGTCTGGGAAGTCCAGAAGTCGGCCCCCGCTACAGAAAGGATGTGGACATGTTGGAGAGTCCAGTGGAGGGCAAGGAAAATGGTTGTGGGGCTGGGGGACGGGACTGGCGAGGAGAGGCTGAGGGAAATGGGCTGCTTGAGTCTGCAGAAGAGCAGACCGAGGGGGATTGAATAGCAGCCTTCACCTCCCTGCAGGGGGGCTGCAAAGAGGATGGAGCTGGGCTGCTCTCAGTGGGGGCAGACGACAGGACAAGGAGCAATGGGCTCCAGCTGCAGCAAGGGAAGTTGAGGTTGGATATGAGGAAGAATTTTCTCTCTAGGAGGGTGGTGAAGCACTGGGACAGGCTCCCCAGAGAGGTGGTGCAGTCTCCATCCTTGGAGGTGTCGAAGACCCAGCTAGATGAAGCCTTGTCTGGGACGATGTGGTTGGGGCTGGTCCCGCTTGGAGCAGGGTCTGGACTAGACGTGACTCCTGAACTCCCTTCAGCCCTCCTTGTCTGCGATTCTAGGTCACAACAGAGGGACTGCGACCCCACAAAGCAGAAAAGTCCGAGACTGTGCCTGGGAAACGACCGGTGACTGGGAAGGACCTTTGGGGAACGGGCTCTGTCTTGTGCCATACTTCGTGATGGATACAGGAAACCTGGAAGGGGCTGGTGTGCACTGGTGTGCACTCAGGCCCTTCCTTGGTTTTGCTGGAGGAAGAACCAGCTGGCGCCTTGAGCGACCATCCCCTCCTAACCCCAGGTGAGCGGCTGTCCTTTTCTCCACGGGCTTGCCCCGCGGTTGGAGTTAAAAGGCATTCACAACCAACTGAACACAAGGAAACCTGAACAGAAACAAAACGGGTTTTAAACAGCGTGCTTAAAATCTTCCCCCCTGCGCTGCTGAGCCCTCCCTCCCATGAGATCGTTTTGCTGGCTCTCTATCTGCCACGTCATTTCCTTGGACAGACGAGACTTGAATTTCTAATGAATTTCCGAGTCTCCCCGAGGGCTCCCAGGTGGGCTGTGCCCAGCACGGGGACGGGGCAGCGACACAGGTCCAATTTCCCCCCTCGGTAGCGAGTCCATTTTGGGTGGCAGCTGCAGTGGATTGTGCTGCGTGGCCTGAGAAATCCTGACCAGATGTTACACGCTCCTCTCTCAGCCCGCTGAGCTAAGTGCTTTCGGCTCGCTGTCTGCATCCCCCTGGCCCAGGCCCCCCACTCGCCTGACAAAGGGGCGAGAGATCACCTTGTGCGGCCGTGCCGAACGCCACGGGAGCGGATCGGCAAACTGCAGAAACACGATCCAGCCCGTCCACGTGCGGGAGGACAGGGATCGCAGCCGTGCTCTTCGAAACACGGGCCCTGATCTGCTCCTGCTGCGGCTCTCTCGTGGTCCCCCAACCACCTGCTCGTGTGTCTACCTGTTGTGCCCTCCTGTAACCTCGGCGGCAGACTCGCTGGGGCAGGGCGATGTTTTTAGCACGGGCCTGCCGTGCGTTATGAATGAAAACAAGAGGGCTGTGATGATGCTCCTGCTCTCCCCGGAGCAAAGGGGAGATTTTCCACTGATTGCACCGAAAGAAGCCTGATACACTTTAAGAGGGCCGCGGCAGGACAGGCTGGCGGTGCACGCTCTCCTCCTCGCTAGCGAAGAGCGACATGGGAGCAGAGCGTGACGCGACTCGGTCGCAACCACCAGAGCAGGGTCAGCGTGAAGGGGACAGATCTCCGTACTCACTTGAACGGCTGTGCAGCTCGCGTCCTCCCATCTAACCTGCAACACACATGGGGGGGAAAGAAAGACTTGTAAGGCAGGTAATGGGCTGGTTTCAACGACGCGGAAAACCCGAACCCCGGCGCTATGCTGCTGTGCTGGGCACCTCTCCGGGCTGCGAGCAAATGCACGGACAAGTAACGAAGCCCCCAGCGACGTGCGGGAAGTCCTGTGGCTGTGACCTTTGATGTGGGCTGCCCCCACGTGCACCGGAAACCAGATCCTTCTGGCCAGCCGGGTCTGCGCGTGCAAACTGCACGTCCTCACGGTTCCCCTCCTCCCCACGCCAACCGTGGGAAAGGGAGGAGCGCACCGCTGCTCGCTGTCCCCTCCCCAGGGCAGCACCCCATCGGCAAGGAGGAGAGCATGCCACCGAGCCCGCGGAGGTAACACATCTCCTCGAGGGACCGGCCTCGTGGATACGTCCTGGTGACTAACAAGCAGCTGTCTGCTTTCTTGGAGGTGGGCCGGAGAAGAGCAGCGCCTGCAATGGCCCTGCCCAAGCGGGCATCCGACCCGCACAGCGCTACCAAGCCATCGTGGCTCGGGGATGTGCGGGCCAGGATCAAACTCTGGTCGCTCTCTCATGCCAACGGCAGAAAGACTAGCTAGCTGCAGGCTGACAAACCCAAGGATACCAGGGCTCAGGTGTGGGATCTGGACGCTGCTGGCCGGAAGAACAGGACACCTGAGCATTGCACATGGAGCCCGCGTGAATGAGGAGAGCCAGTGCCGCGGTCGCTCCAGGGGTGTAAAGGCCCCGAGCGCTTCCGTCGCGGGCACAGCGTCAGCCGGCGACTGCTGGGAGCAGAGCCCTGGTCCCTCCACCCGGGCCATGACGCTTTTCCAGGGGAACTTCCAGGATTTCCACCTCGATCCCAGCAATAGCAACTGGCAAGGAGAACTGCGCCTTTTCACTTCTCGTGCTCTCACCGGTTTTTGCCTTTTTCCAGCTCTGTCACTGCCTGACTGGGGGACATGAAAAAATGACTTCATCTGTGGCATACTTACCGCATGAAAATCATTGGGATGAGTTACACTGCTCCCTTTCTACTAATTTCACTGCTGCTGCAATGAGTAATGGAACAGAACCGGCCCTATTACGCCTTCTTCTATCCCCCACGTTTCACCTATTCGAGCTCCCTCTTCCCCATTTCCAATGCAAGATACATTACATACTTGGAAAAAGAAGAGCGAACATCTGCTAAGCATCCAAAATACCTAATTGAGGAGAATGGTTCCAAGGATAAGAGACTTGCATGGTTTAAAGCCAACATGACACCATAAAATGTTGTTTTCATTGGGGTTAGGATCATGCTGGGGGAAAAAAAAGCCCTACAAGCCTATTGTTTCCAAGGGTGATGGATTAGGAGCGCTCCTCAGGCCCTGACTGCTTCTCACAAGCTATTAGGGTTGGAAATCCTGGGAGAACTGCCTCTCACATGAAATTTCGGGGCCTTGTGCTTCATCTCAGCCAGAAGCAAGGAGGGAAGAGATGTGTGGAAGGAGACACAAGGAGGAAGTTCGGCCAAATTCGTTAAAGCTCGGAGAGCGTTTGGCTCAGGTGAGAAACGTTCTTGTGTGACCCCAGTTTGTCCAGCCTTAATGAGAAATGTGGAAGGCGCGAGCCTGCAGCTCCGCCACCCCGTGACGGCTGCGTCTGAAACGCTCCCACCGCCACGGGCACCGGGAAGGGGTTTCCTCCGGTCGTCTAAGGGAGGGAGTGGGGAAGCGGCAGCTAGACCCACTCCTTCTGCCGGGTCCTGCCAGGTGAGCGTGTTTGAATGGCACTCCTGCGACGGGCCAGGCTCCTTCTGCATGCAGAGAAGAGGCATGCAGGGAGGGCTAGCTGGTGTTACCTACACCCAGAACCACAGATGCTAGATGTGGAAGGAGCCCATCGCGCCGCCTGCACAGGGCTGTTATCCGCAGGCTATTTCTGAACACTTAGATTTCCGTGATTCAACCAGCAAGGGTCGCGGCCCGAGCTGGGGTGGCGTTTTCCTGACTGGGATGCTCACGGTCAGGATGCGGTCCCGGTACCGTAGCTCTTTAACCTGCTAACTCCCTGCCCTCGCTCTCATGCTTTTCCAGTACTTGGACGTGGCTGCTTGCCCAGAGAAAATACACGGATGCACCAGAACCGGAGACAAGAGGAGCGGGGGCATGGACACTGTCCAAGTAGGGGCAACGGCGAGAGCAATTGTATAACATACAGTGAGGCGACCATGCCTCCCGGCCCGGCTGGAAGTGGGGGGCTACAGAAAATGACCCTCCTTAGGCTGTCGAAACCCAAGCCTTGCATGCTGCAAGCCCCTGCATCCCGGCCTGCTGGTGTGGCGAGCTCGCTGACACGCTCCCCATGCACGAGCGCTGTGCAGCGGGGCGCCCGGCTCGTGCTCGTTACCTCTGTCCTTTCCATTCTGCATCTTTTCCGCTTCTTCTTCCTCTCCTTCCTCTGCTTCAAAAACAAACAAAAAGAAGACAGCGGTCAGGGGGAGGGCTGTGTGGGAAGGTTTTCTGTAGGAAAGAGCCCATCCCAAACTGGCGTGCGAGGCACAGTTCAGTCTGGTTCGGATGGAGACGATCCTGCCTCAGGCAGGGGTTGGACTCGATGCGACTCCCTGCATCCCCGCGGCTCTGGGACTCGAAAGAGGGGCCGGAGGGGCTGTGCCGGAGCGAGGCCTGGTCTCCTGGAGGCTGCAATTCTTGGGTGCTGCAGTGGCAGCTCCTTTGAACGCTGCCCCGGCTCGCTGTGATGCCCCTGCCCTCCCGCGTCACCCTGCCCAGGGAGCCCGTTGCGGGCTTGTCAGCAGGAGGCAGTGCCTGCAGTCTCCCACGGACCAGTGCTGGCCCCGCGCAACGTGGTGCACAAACACCTTGGACTCTCTTGTGCACCCGCGTGTGAGCCCCCTTGGAAACTCAGAACTGCAAAATCCAGCTGTGAGAGGACCGGGGCAGAGGTCGATGCTGAGCACGGGATGACCAGACGGAAACTAGAGGAGGCTACAGGCGACCCGAGGGGAAATATGGAGGCTCCGCCGACCCTCGCGCTCGCAGAAGTCACTGGGGCACGGTTGTGAGCGAGAGCAGACTCTGCTCCTCGTTCTGTCTCAGCGACGGAAAAGACGTGCCTGCAGATGGCTCAATTATATTTAACTCCAGTTAAGTTGAAGAAAATGCATGGGCAAGGCTTGTATTTACGTTGCAGGGAATGTGAGCAGACAGGCACATTCCTGCACGTGCGGCAGGTCACATCTCTGCGTGCAGCATCGCTGCCGAGAACTGTGTAAACAGGCAACAGTTATCGCAGGCGGCGATGGCCCCTCGGCCCGCTTTATTTATGACCCAGAGAAAAATGAAAGAGAAAAATATAACTGCAATAAAAGGGGCAATTTGAGCATTGTGAATCAGTCTGGCCACGGGGAGCCCTGAATAGGGAAGTCGTAGGAACAGGTGCCGCCCTCGCTGTTCTGGCCCGGGATAAATGCTGGAAGTCAGAAGTGTTTGCACCGAGCTGCCTTCTCGGCGGCTCCGACCCTGCTGCCGGCATCATTCGTGGCCGAGGGCAGCAAGCACCGACCGACGCGCACCAAGCGTGAACGAGGAGCTCGAGCTTCAGTGCTTGGGTCCTGAGCTTCTCCTCTGCTCCTCAGGCTGGCCCGGGCCGCCCGGCCCGCAAGCACTGGGCGCACAACGCCTTGCGCTGCTTTCGAATGACTTTGCTCATTGTAGCTCAGGATTGCACCCCTTCTTTCCTGGCTAACGAAGACCGTGCGAAGTGGGGTGCTTCTCACGGGACACCCATTTCTGAAGGCAGGCAGGGTGGCTCCCATCCGTGGATCACAACACCGCACAGCATAACGCCTGCAGTGGTGACTGGCAGGGGCTCAGCTCGAAGGAGGTGTATGTTGTCATTGTTTAATTTTTGGCCAACGTGTGTTAAATCCCACTGAATCACGTCAGCCGAGTATAACTCATACTTTCCCGAATTTACACGAATGAAATGATTTCACATACTTTCAAGGGACCCTTCTCTCTGAGTATCTACACATGATCAAATAAGAGCCTGTAATTAATTTTATCGCCAGTCCCTCGTGCACCGTGAATGCCACGCACGATGCACGGCACGGCCATAATGACTGTCGGCGGCACAAACCTTGCTTTGTTTGTGTTTGTCAAACATTTCCTGGGTTTCAAAAGGGGCCAGGAGATCAAAATGCCTCGCTGAGATTCGGCCCCTGAGACAAGTCACTGCGGACCAGGCTCTGCTCGCGGATACACCAGCGTTAAAATGCATGACTGGCACGAGGAAAAAATAAATTACTGCAGACATCTGTTTTGGGCTCAGAGTTTGTCCGCTGCGTTTCAGCCTGAAGGGAACAGACCCGTGTCTCGCTGTGCAGGGTGATTTATTAAAGAAACACAAGACCCCTTAACGATAATAGCGCTAGTGACTGTTGCTGTAATACATGAAAGACTTTATTAACTACACCGCTGCCTTTGCAGCCAAGACACAAGCTTTGGATTGGGTGAATTTACTGCCCGGCAGTAAAATATCAACCTGGTTTATAACCAGGGCTTCTGGTTTATAACGAGAGCTGCTCCAATAGGAAGAGTGCGGGGAAACTACTGCACTTGTTTGAGATGGGGCTTGGTTAGTTTATGGCGGGCTTAGGTGAGGTGGCTGCTGATACAGCCAGGGCCGGATTCAGCGATCCAGGCCCACGTCCATGTGAAAATGGACCGTGCATTCGAAAGCAGCGCAAGGTGTCTAAGACCATGAGGCTGAACCGGCCGGGGATGGGTTACCTGTCAGGCTAGATGGTCTGCTCAGGTCCCTCCGGAAACTATGAAACCTGCTGTAGGGTTGCTGTGGTTCGGCTGCTTTCACCGACACCCACTATGCCCGTCACGTGAAAGGCACGCCGGGAAAATCAGCACTCTTCGTACAGGGGCTTGGATATTTTACTCTGATATTCGTGACTGGCTTGACCTAATGGGACTTCCTTTCAGATGTGCTCCGAAGGGCTGGTAGGTGAACTGCAGACGCCTTAAGTAACGGGGAGCACGAGAACTGGCTCAAAAACGCATCCTAACTCCTTCACTTGGAAGCACGTGTCTTTGGAGAACGACCGCTCTCAGAAACGTGACGACGAGCGTGGCGTCTCTGCTTCCCGGCACGTGCTCTGAGTCACAGCTGCCTACTTGACTGGCACAGAATAGCGTTTACTACGGCTGGGCTGGGGGGATCGGCACAAGTAGGAGTGAGCGAGCTGCGTTTCCGTCCGCCTCGTGAATCATCCGCAGCAGTATCAGCCAGCTCTGCGTGCACAGGACAGTCGTTACGACTGGTGATAAAGCAAGACGCTCGTTCAGAGCACACGTGGAGTTTCCAAGGCTGCCAGAACGGGTTTCTCACTGAGACGCACCAAGCGTCATGTTGCGACGCGGTTTTTAAATACGCCTTTCCTCCGAAAATCAAACCCAACGGAGAACTCTTCCGCCCCTGGCTTTAAGGTCCCTGCCTTTGGTCACTCTGCTTCCCTGCAGGTGTAGGCATGGCAAAGCCGAACCCTTACCTGAATGCAGCTCCTTCACCAAAGACGACATGGTATTAGTGATTGAATCCGCTGCTACCAGTAAGTCGTTCCGGAGGTTCCTCCTCGTCCCTAGGAGAAAAGGAGGTGGGAAATGAACAGCTCTGCAGCTTCCCGCGCTACTCACAACTGGGCGCTCGATCCGAGGCGCCGGGCACTCGCACCGGGTGTTTATTTTCCCTCGACAGGGATCGGGGAGCAGAACCCCGGCCCCGCGCCCGCGGAGCTGACGGCAGCTGTGGTGCAGCCGGCGGGGAGACCGGCTCTGGCCTGACAAGGGCTTTGCTCCGCTGCGCCGTGGAGCGGCCCTGCTCCGCTGGACGGCTGGACGGGCCGCTTGGCCGGTTTGCAGCCATCTCATCCTTTCTTTGCATCCGTCCCTGGCGTCGCTGCCGCGGCGCTCCCCTCTGCGCTGGCACGGGCTGCTGCGGACGCACGGTCCATCGTGCCCCGCACGGCACGGCACGGCAGGGACAAGGGACAGCGACGCTTGCAAGCTGGTGGAGGAGCTCTCCTCCCCAGGGGACCGTGCTCCCTTGCAAATGACCCGCCTAGCTCCAGACTGGTATTGCTGGCTCCCTCTCTGGCAATGTCCTTGCCTCTCAGACTTGCTTTCTGGAAACCAGTGTCCCGTCACACACCGCTGGCGAGCCCCTGTTCCTCACCGGGCGATGTGAACCTTTGCCACAGGCTTTGGAAGCAGTTGAGGCGAGGGAGCGAATGGACCTCTGGAGAGGTTTCCGGGCAAGCCTCGCCTGTCCAACCCTGCCGGTGCGGGGGCCAGGCGATGCCAAGAGGGCACCGCTGTCTGCTCTCGCTCACTTCTGTCTCTTTGCTGAGGACAGAAGGAATCGGTGACGGCACACGTGCATACGTGCGTGCCCCCGGGGCCCAACAGACTGTGCTGGCGACACTGCAAGTCTGAGCGGCGCTATGAGCAGGACCTCACCCGTGCCTCGACTCGGGGTGGGAGAAGCGGAGATTGCCCGCGGAGGAGCTATGCCTGAGGGCCATGCTGGCAGACCCCGCCGTGGCCGACTGCAGGAAGAAATGTCCTTCTCGGGGTCCCGCAGGCCCCGAGAAGGACGGCTGCGTGCGGGGGCAGAGAGACGGTGCTAGAGTCTGTCAGCAAAGCAAGCAGAGGTCCTAGCCGAGGGCATGCAAAGGTGGGCCAGGCCTGGTGTGCCCTGACGACTGTGCTGCCAGGAGAAAAATGCCCTCACAAAGGAAACCCCTTGCACGCACCTCTGGGAGAACCGGCGGCAGCAAAAATAACCTAACCTCAAAGTCTAGTGAAACCCTTTCATTTCACCGCCCTCTTCCACGAGCGCTGTTGGACTTAGACTCCCAGGGCTGGCCGCAGTCGAGGGCTGTCTAGTCCCGCTCCCTGCACGGACGCAGGCTGCACGGCTCCTGGGAAACCTCCACCAAGGAGGGTCCACCCAAACCCAGCTCTCTTGTTTCCTCATCCTCATCACTTTTTTTCCCTGAGGTTTGATCTAAATCTGCTTGGCTGCAGTAGCACCCCGTTGCCCTCCGAGGCGGGGAGAACGCCTGGTTCCCTCGTTTGGAGGGCAGCCTTTCCAAAATCTGACAGGTGCCGTCATGTCCCCCTTTAATCCCCTGGTCTCCAAGCTCAACATACCCTTCCACGTCCACTTCGTGGTCCCATCTCTATCATGTCTGCCACTTGCTTATCTTCACACCCTTCCTAAAATGTGGTACCCAGAGCGGCACAAGACGCTCCAGCTGAGGCCTAATCAGCGCAGGGGGTGGCGGGACTAGTGGCAGGGATTCGGGCACAACCGCAGGCTGCTTGATTGTACGGAGCCATCGCCACGAGTGACTCCAAGCCCTTGTACTGCAGACTCCAGAGTCCCCGGTCGCCCCTCGGTGCTGTCTCCAGCGCCCGGTGCGCTGCAAAGCATGCTCAGGATGTTCTGGAGACCTCAGAAAAGCAGGTTTCAGGTCGAAGAACCGAAGCTGCAGGGATCCAGGCAGAGGCCGGGCACCTGCTACAGAAAAGATCAAGCCCCCTTCCTCCCCTGCCCCACGTCCATACCACTCGGACCAGGAGAGAAAACGGCCGGACCCCAAATATGCAACCAGCCTGACTGAGTGGCGGGCGAGACCCTCTAGCCAGGATCTTCTGGCTTTGGTCCCGGCAGAAGTGCTGGCCAAGCCCAGTCCCCGTCCCCAGCCTGGGCTGCAGCAGCACCCAGTGCCTCTGGGGGAGGCTTAAAAACACCTCGACGCGTGTAGCAGGAGGAGAGGGGCAACCAGCAAAGGCCAGAAGCCTGGGACATCCCCGTACCGAACGCAGGCATCGCTGCACCTGGATCCTCCCCACCCCGTGACTGTCCAACCTCTTCTCCAACCCCTCCAGTGACGGAGAGTCCACCGGTTCCTGGCGTCTGCTCCGCTGCCTCCCTGCTCTGACAGCGAACACGTTTTTCTAAGATTTGCTGCTTCCTCCGCTGCCACGTCAGGCCACTGGCCCATGTCCTCCTCTCTGCAGCAAGAGAGAACGGGGCTTTCCCTCCTCTTTATGGCAGCACTTCAGGGATTTGCAGGCTGCCGTCATGTCCCCTCGTAAGCGCCTTTTTTGCTAGCTGAACGCACCCAGCTCCTTCAGCCCCTCCTCGTATGTCTTGCTTCTCAAGCCCTTGATCATCTTTGTCGCTCGTCTCTGCAGCCCAAGCAAGCCTCCTCCAGCTGCTGGAAGTGTACAAAGCCTGTACATTGTCTGGGTTTCCCAGGCACAAAACTCACCAGTCAGACCCACAGCCTTGAAGACCTTCACTTTCTCAGAGTCCCCATTGCTTCCAGACCACTCAGGATGTGGAAAACCTCTTCCTCACTGATGCTAATGCTACGTCAGACCACCGCACAGGTAGCAGTCGCAGGAAACAGCCCTCCATCCATGTACAGCACCGATGGAACCAGGGTCACCAACCCAAGAAGTGTTTTTTACTGACAATCTGCAAACTTTTTACGCAATCTTAGGGAAAACCGTAACCATTAAACATGCCTGACCAACCTGATTGTCTTCTATGACAAGGTGACTGGCTCTGTGGACGTGGGGAGACCGGTGGATGTGGTGTACCTTGATTTTAGCAAGGCTTTTGATACAGTCTGCCACAATATTCTTGCAGGCAGACTAAGGAAGTACGGGCTGGATGAATGGACTATAATGTGGACAGAAAACTGCTGGAGCATTGGGCTCAGAGAGTAGTACTCAATGGCTGATGTCTAGTCAGCAGCCGGTATCAAGTGGAGTGCCCAGGGGCCAGTCCTGGGGCCAACTTTGTTCAATGTCTTCATCAGCAACCTGGAAGATGGGATGGATGCACCCTCAGCAAGTCTGCAGATGACACCAAGCTGGGGGGAGTAGATATGCTTTTGGGTAGGGCTAGGATTCAGAGTGACCTAGACAAATTGGAGGACTGGGCCAAAAGAAATCTCATGAGGTTCAGCAAGGACAAGTGCAAAGTCCTGCATGGAGGAGGGAGCGAACCCCTGCACCGGGGCAGGCGGGTGGTGACGGGCTGGGCAGCAGCTCTGCAGAAAAGGACCTGGGGGTGACAAGACAAGAAGCTGAACAGGAGCCGGCAGTGCACCCTTGTCACCAAGAAGGCTACCGGCATCCTGGGCTGCATTGGGAGGAGCGTGGCCAGCAGATCGAGGGACGTGATTCTTTCCCGCTATTCAGTATCGGTGAACCCACATCTGGAGTCCTGTGTTCAATTTTAGACCCTTCGCTACAGAGAGGATGTGGACAAGTTGAAGAGAGTCCAGCGGAGGGCAATGAAAATGGTTGTGGGGCTGGGGGACGGGACTGGTGAGGAGAGGAGGAGCGAAATGGGCTGATTTAGGGGGATTGAATAGCAGCCGTCACCTCCCTGCAGGGGGGCTGCAAAGAGGATGGAGCTGGGCTGTTCTCAGTGGGGGCGGATGGCAGGACAAGGAGCAATGGGCACAAGCTGCAGCAAGGGAAGCTGAGGTTGGATGTTAGGAAAATTTTTGTCATGAAGAGTGTAGTAAAACACTGGAACAGGTTACCCAGAGAGGCGGTGGACTCTCCATCGTCGAAGGTTTTCAAGACGCGGGTAGACAAAGCCTTGGCTGGGATGATGTAGCTGGGGCTGGTCCTGCTTGGAGCAGGGGGCTGGACTGAACGTGACCTCCTGAGCTCCCTTCAACCCTCGTTTTCTACGATTAACTTGATGCCTCTGCCCCATCCTGCACCCACAGCTCCATCTTGGCAACCTTTCCCTCTCCTCTTATACTCTGCTTTCTGCAGCGCCTTTCACAGCATCTGATGAAGTGAATCTGGGTTCACAAAACCTTGTGCTCTCTCTCTAGATCCTTTTTAGTTAGTCTATAAAGGTGCATATCTACCCTGCCTTTCAGCCCTGGATACAACATAGGTCTTGCTGGCTGCTACATGACCTCAGTCTCTGTTAAACTGCCTGTGTCTGCCACCGCAGTCCTGCTCAGGATATGCCACTGAGTCGCAATCCGCTGCACGGAGCGGCGGCGCGGTGCTTTCGACCTGTCCGCAGCCTCGTAGGATGGGAGGGTTTTCCAGAGGCGCAGGGTCTCGGCGCCGCGCAGGGCGAGGAAGGGTGGGTGGGTGCAAGAACATGACCCGTGTCCCTGCAGACGGGTCCGTGCCGCTCCGGGGGCTCGGTCGACTGACTGTATCACAGCTTCCCTGGCGGCGGTGGAAGCCGTATGGAAATCTCTGTTCCATCATGACAACTCTCTTGGATTGAGAAGTAGGCATCTGTCTGTCTCGCGAGTCAATAGGTTTGTGCCAAGCGAGGCATCAGCTCGTTGAATGTCTGCGAGTCCTTGAGTCACACTCCCTTCTGCACTGATCAGATGTGAAGTTTGTCTTGAACGGTCCTGAACAGGCTCTGGGCTTCTTCCTGAGGTTTCGTCTTCCCTTTGCGCGTCAAGCTCAAAAGCCTTCACCCCACGCTTAACAGACTGCTTCCAAGAGCTTCAACCCTCAGCGATCTTCTCCCGGTTGTTTGCCTCGATGTTCGTTACCTTCCCATCTTCCTCGCAAGCGTCTTTGACCCAGAGATAAGGACACCCAGGTGGGCTTCTTCCTGTAAAGAGTTCTCCATACAAGAGATCGCTGGGTACGCGGCCAGCGGCCCTTCTCTGCCTATGACCTGGCCACGGAAGTCGACGCTGACTGAGAAGCAGGTGGATGCTTGGAAGGGAGGCTCGCTCCAAGAGCTCGACGTAGGCGCCAAAGGCAATGCAAGTGGAAGCTGTTGTCCAGGTGCTTTTCTTGCGTATGTGGTCCTGGTTTGACACGGTTTTGCATTTGCTACCGTACAGAGACACAAGCGTGGTATACTTTGACCTTGGTCTTAACAGTCAGCTCGCTGTTGTTCCACGCTCGCTTGCTCAGCACGCTCGTGACGCCTGATGCTTTGTCAATACGGGTATTCGGTTCAGCCTCCCGTAACAGAGCTCTTGGATTTGTTGCACAACTAAACCTGTGTCTACTGCCCCGACTCACTCTCAAGCCGTAATGGGGCTCTGGAAACTTGCCATCTTGCGTGTCCAAAATCAGTCAGTTAAGCAGTATCCGAGCCAGTAGCAATGCGATCTATGAGATCTCCCTCACCCTTGTAGATTTTAGTTATGGTCACATCTGGAGGGACAACATCATCCTCCCACATTTGGCAGAAGAGCTTGTGTAGACTCTCATTCAAGGCTACACACCCTAACTTTGCTGGAAGACCATTAGGATCTGGAGCTTTCCCATCTTTCCGCTGGCGTGGCACCCAGGGCTCTTCCAGAAGGGACGTGTGCCGGAGGCGCTGATACGTCTTCCCTGAGGGATGCCCGATAGCACATCACCAGCAACACCAGACTGAATGTTCGGCGAGTCTTCGAAATGCTGCCGCCATCACGAGCAGATGCTCGCCGGGTCAGTGATCATCAATGCCCAGCCATCGCTGCCCTTCACGGGCATCGGTATGTCACTAGCAGGGCCACAGGCAGCTTGGCGCTCCCCATGGTTTCGGTACTTCCTTTCCTGAAAAAGGACAGGGGCGAGGGGGAACGGGACGGAGCAGGCTTCCCGGATGACCTCTTGGACCCGCTGCGTTGCAGCCTGGGAGAAAGCAAGTCAATGCACAAAAGGGAAAGAAACACGGTTGCCAACAAATCGGTTGGGTGCTCTTGATTAGGCCGTCAAACTTGCTGCAAAGCCTCAGCTGAGGCAATTGGACCACCCACAGCAGCAGATGGAGTGCTATGCCTCCGGTATTTGGCACGCTGCCTCCATGGGAATGCCGCGTCTGCTGTTGTTTCTGGAAGTATTCGGAGGGGCGAGGAGTGGATCTCCACTGCTGGAATCGGACAAAGGCATTCCTCTCGTCAGGGGCTCGCAGAGGCCCAGGGCGTGCACGCTAGAGCTTTTCCAATGCCTCCTCTGTGCACTGGTGGACGAGGATCTGCCGTTCACAGGCTCGTTGCGAGTCTGCAGAGCGATGCAGCCGCGCAAAAGGCCAATGGGGCTTTGGGCTGCATCGACAGGGGCATCGGGTGCCAGACACGGGAGGGGACGGTGCCTCTTCTGCTCGGCGCTGCTCAGGCCTCATCTAGAGCGCTGGGTGCCGTTTGGGGCTCCACACCTGCAGCAGGACACGGAGAAGGTCGAGAGGTCTGGAGGTGGGTGACACATGATAAAGGGCTTGGACAGCAAGTCGTGCGAGCTCGAAAGAAACAGGGATGCTCACCTTGCGGGAAACGTGACAGAAGAACACCTTTTCTCTCTTGCTGCAGCGAGCAGGACATGGACCAATGGTTTCAAATTGGAGCAAAGTAGCTTGCGTATCGGGAAAACCACCGTTGCCGTTAGAGCAGCGACACATGGGAACAGGCCGCCTCGGGAAGCTGGGGGAGCTGCATCACTGCGGGGTTTCTAGAAGAGGATGGGCAAGCACGGGTCGGGGGGATCGAGGAGTAGCGTGCTGTACAGAGCTGGGAGACCATGGGAAAAGCTGTGCTGCCTTGAGCAGGTGGGTACTGGAAAGGACCAAGCTCAGCAGCAGAAGAAAGAAGTTTGGTTGTGATGAATGAAGATTAAAAGGGTTGAGAAAGTCCCTGGGGAGGATGCAGTAAGGGGAGCTCTGGGTGACGTGGAGTTGTGCTTCCCACCCAGGCTGCAGAGCACAGTGAAGGGTGCTTGGCTGTCCCCTTGCTTCGGGCTTTGCCGGCTGTCACGCGGGGCTGGGAAAGAAGATTTCCCCCTCCTGTTGATAGAGGTGTCAGGGTTTCCCCCCTTGCCCCGAGGCACCGGGTGTTGGCTGCAGTCCAGGCTGTGCAATGCTCCCGCTGGGACCAGAGCCCGGAGGTCCGTGGCGAGAGGGTCTGGCCCCTCCGCGCAGGCTCAGACCAATCGCCACGTAAGAAAGTTTACCCCGTGGCCAGACTGGTATGGACTTGTGGGGGGGAGGCTTTGCCTTCCTCCGTCGCAGCGATGGCTTCTTCCTAGGATCGCTCAAGCATATTTTAACAACCTTCGCAGCGGCAGGACACTGGCTTCCTTTGTCTCCCTGCTTTACCCGGGGCAGCGCCAAGTGTTATCAGCGTCCTGTGCTTGTGCGACAGGGCTGAGTGTGTCACCTTAGGAACAGGTTAGACAAGTTCTTGTCTGGGATGGTTTGGATAGGGACGATCCTGCCTGGACTGGATGTGACCTCCGCAGGCCCCTGCCAGTCTTTCTGATTCAAGTAAAACAGTCTCAAGTTTTGAGGGGACGCTTGGGGACGGAGCCCTTCATTCAGTACCTTCCTCTTGAAGCGTTAGCACTAAACAAGCAGTTTAGCCACTTTCTGCTCCTCTGCTACAATCTGCCGCCTTCTTCATTCCCGCCGGCATCAGTTAGTTCAAGCTTGAACTTCCTCGCTTGAACTCTCAAGAGCGTAGACCAGTGGTCGTTGGATGGGCAAAACCTATTGGCACTCGGTATGGCTCGCTATTTCTTGTAGGAAATAAAAGGGCATGAATGAGGTCCTTTCCCACTTCCAAGGGGTCAACAGCATGGAGACTTGGTTAGGCTCCGAGTCATTAGACAGCGAGTGATGTACGGACAGCGCCGTGTCTAGAGGCACTGCCATGCCGGTGGCCAGGTCCCAAAGCACTGGGGCAAGCAAAGCACTCAGGAAGGCACGAACTCTTCCTTCCTTCCCCGTCCATAAGAAAGGCATGAGGCAGAGTCGGATGTCTTCTCAAATGACAGGGACGCTAATGCACAAGGAGCAGCAGACCGCAGGGTTTCCCCGAGGATGACCGGACCTCGGAACGAGCCTGCGGCTCCGTCTGACGTAGTAGCGAGCCTCGCTCCCGAGCTATCTGGCCCACAGTTGTGGTGCTGAGGCGAGTACCACCTCCCTGGCTTCTTTAGGAGAAATGAAAGGAAGTTTTGGACGCCTAAGAATAGGAGAACGAGAAGAGGCGAGAGAAAGGTGCAATCCCCGTGTGACCGGTCCCCTGCACCGCCCTCTTAGCTTGCCGCGCGCGCGCGCTCTCGGTGCGGGGGCTCAAGTTAACCGCACCTGCTAATTAACCACCTAAAGGTGGAGCTGGATTTTGGCCACGAAGCCTACTGGTAAAACCGCGCCGGGGCAGGACTGCCTGCCAGCGGTGCACGCTGTAAAACACAGCTCAGCGCTACGGCTTTCAGACCGGGAGGGAAATCACGGCAAGAAAGGTGACGGTGACGGCAGGCTCCGACCTGCAGCCGACAGGGGAGAGAAGAGCGAGGTCACCCCTCGCCTCTGCTCAGGCCCGAGCGCTTCCAGGCTCAGGGGGTCGTTAGCGCCTGCTGGGCCCGCGGGTCCCAGAACCGGGGATCCCACCTGATGATACTCAGGAGAGTGGTGCCTCCCGAGAGGTGGATTTTATCAATCCACGCTTTAACTTTTTCTCTGCTTTTCATCTCATGTTTCAGCTGTTTTCCTCTTTTCCCTCCACTCTTCACACAGGTGTGTCACTTTTATGTTTGTATCAAAGAGAGCTGGCTGGTTCAGAGCTTTGCATTTTGATTAAGGGCTTCATTCAGGTTGATGTTCGCTTATTTGCATTGCAAAATGCCAGCCTCCTCTCACCTGGTAACTGACTGATCGCCAGGTGAGCGCTAGCTAACACGGATTGAAAGGACTGTTTATTTTAGCTTCTTCCCTTACGGCTACTGCTCTGTCCCTTTCCGCCTCCTTTGGGTCAGAGTTTGACAGTCGGCCTCCGATTTTACATTAGCAATTCACAGCTCTGAGAGGTGAAGTTTAATTAACTAACTTGTGAGTGCAATCAGGTGGCTAATTAACTGCAGGTGCAAAATCGTGGCGACAAAGCTGGACGGCAGACCGAGGCCACACCACGACTTTTTTTGAAGTTATCAAGACTAAAAATACACTTTCGCTCTTGGCATAATGCAAAGGAAATGACGTCAGGAGCTATTTTATCCAACCCGCTGGGTCGCGCACGCATGCTACGAGCCGTGCCTCCAGTGTCGGGCGGCAGCGGTGTCTTAATTTGTACCTCGCTTACCTTGTGCAAAAGCTTCCTGCACGTCTCCCCCAACTCCTGCGAGCGAGTCTTGAGGCACGTGCGTTGGGGTGGAGCCGGCCGATGTGGATCTGACAGGCATTGGCATCGAGCGACTTGCTCCGTGGGTAGGCGAGGAGTGCGGGGAGCCTGCTGCTTGCGCCTGCGAGAAGAAAAACAACGCACAGTTGCCATACCAATAACGCACTCTCTTTGGATCAGCGTCTGCGATGCTGCGTTGTGCCCTTGGGGACCTTGGCGAGAGCGCCCGCAACCTGGACGACGTCTGCCTGCGACCAACAGGCCGTGGGGTGGGATCCACGGGTCACAGGAATCAATACAGATCCTTCCACTGGCTTCAGCAGCCTTTGTGTCAAGCTAGGGCAGCTGAAGGATCGGCACGCGCGGCTCAACGGGGAGCTCCCTCAGATACCCAGGCGGACGCTCTCCCTGTACAGCAGGCAGTCGTGCCACTGTCGGGGACGGGCTACTCGGCTACACAGACCACGGGTCTGACCCTGTATGGCATGCCTTGTGTTCTTAACGGGAATGACGTGGATCTGACCGACGGCCTCCATGTGACAGGGCCACCATATCCAACTACACGATCATGGGGCTGGAAGGGACCTCAAGGGTCACAGAACCACAGACACCGAGGTCTGGAAGGGACCCCGGGAGGTCACACCTAGTCCAACCCCTGCCCCACGCAGGACCAGCCCCAGCTACATCATCCCAGCCAAGGCTTGTCTAGCCAGGTCTTCAACACCTCCAAGGATGGAGACTGCACCACCTCTCTGGGAAGCCCGTTCCAGTGCTTCACCGCCCTCCTGGGGATAAATTTTCCTAATATCCAACCGCAACTTCCCTTGCTGCAGCTGGAGCCCATTGCTCCTTGTCCTGTCGTCTGCCCCCACTGAGAGCAGCCCAGCTCCGTCCTCTTTGCAGCCCCCCGGCAGGGAGGTGAAGGCTGCTATTCAATCCCCCTCGGTCTTCTCTTCTCCAAACTAAACCAGCCCACTTCCCTCAGCCTCTCCGCACCAGTCCTGTCCCCCAGCCCCACAACCATTTTCCTTGCCCTCCACTGGACTCTCTCCAACTTGTCCACATCCTTTCTGCAGTGGGGGGCGCACAGCTGGACACAGCACTCCAGATGTGGCCTCCCCGGTGCTGAATAGAGGGGAAGAATAACCTCCCTCCATCTCTTGGCAGCGCTCCTGCCAATGCAGCCCAGGATGCCGGTTGCCTTCCTGGCACCAAGGGTCACCTCATCTAACCCCCTGAGTGACTGCAGGATGTGCAGTTCCTGCCAAATGCTTAGCCAGCTCCTTCTTGAAGACCTCAGGGCAGACACTGAGTTACAAAATAGCAACAGCTGACGAGAGAGGGTCGTTTTAGCCTCGAGGGCTCTGCAATTTCTCGTTATAGCAAATGAAAGCAGAGACTCGGCCTTCACAGCAGTATGTTCCAGAAGATTCCCTTGGTGCATTCACATCCATTTATCTTCCCCTTTTTTTGCACTGTCACTTTACAAAGGAGAATTAATTTTTGAGCCATGACTGACATTTAAGTTCCTGAAATTTGCAGTATCTACGTCTAGTGCCGAGCTGGCGAGCTTCGTGTTACACCAGGAACTGCCTGCTGGCAAGTGAGAGCGCTCACGGGATGTATTTTTATTTGCATACAAATGCGGCAGAGAAACAAGCAAAGCTGATTGCCTAAAGGGCCTGGTATCTTTTTTCTGACGGTCACTAAAAAGGACTGGTAGAAGGCGGGGCAGGGTGGCACCTTAAAGACTAAGTCGCTCAGGAAGGGCCTTTGTACACGCCACGTTTTTTTGCCTTTTCGCGTGCTGCAATTGCATGTCACCGAGCGCAGTCTCCTGTGTTTTCAGGCAACGGTTGGTTGTTCAACGGCTCTAGTGTCAGAGATACCTTCCTACAGCTCGCTTACTCCAACTCTTTTGTGCCACGGCCGAAAAAGCCATTACGAAACCATAAGCAAACCCACCCTACAGCACGCCCAGCAGTGGAGATGTGGGCACTGCCAGCGCCCTGCACCTCAATGGCACAAAAGTCATTTGGTTTCTATCTATTCAGAGGATCCTAGGGAGAGGACCAGGCTTCAGAGGAAAGCAGCGCCTCCCACAAGCCATACCAATATGATCGGGGGGAAAATGCCTTTCTGAATTCAATTCTGGCCTTGGGCTTGAACCTGACTAGAAGAGCAAGACCCTCCAGCCAGGTACCTGAAAGGCTTCTAGATACGAGTGGAGGCATCAATAAATGCCAGTCAAAGCGTCGACCGTTAGCTGTGGCCAATATCCAATGTCCAGAGGAAAGTGATAAAAAACTCCAGTAGAGCAGTCCTGAGGGGAGGAAAATATCCTTTCCTGGCCCCGAGAGATGATCAGAGACGCTTTTAGCATCAGCAAACACCTCCCGTGCCCAAAGAGAGCTACCTCTCAACCCCAGCGTGGAGACTGCAAATGCAGGGGCCCACATACCACATATGTACTGATAACTGATTACCGAGCGCACTCATCTCCCCGTACTACCCCTGCCAGGAACTTGGGGAGATCTACCTGGAAACCACCCTGGTTCTTTCCCCGCGGCGTTGTTTGGGAGACTTCATTTTTCTGATCGTTAGGAAACTTCTGATTACTAATCTAAACGTGTCCGTGGCCAGTTTGTGGCCATCTGATCCTGTGCTGATGTTGTTAATACACTCCCGTAGTTCTTCTCCATCCCTCAAACTCACCCAGCAAACACATTTATAAAATGCAAGCAGAGCCCCTCTTCATTTTGGCAAGCCAATAAGCCAAGCTCTTTTCATCTCCCCTCATGAGAGATGCTCTCCATTTCCTTAACCATTGGAGCAGCCTTTTTTGCTCCTTTTCCAGCACCGTGACCAGCACAACACAGTAGTGCGGCACCACGTTTCACAGGCAAGTACAGAAAACCCCAGAGGAGACAATTCTGGCATCACCTGTGTGTCAGGGAAGGCTCTTCTTCACCACCACCACGAAGTGACTGGCCTATGGCCAGAAACACGTTAGTTTGTACCATTTATACACTACCACATTCAGTGCGGGGTGCTCTCACTAGCCGTGCAACATTCAATGGAGCACAGAGACCTCCAGACCGATTTTTGAGAAAACTGGCTGCAGAAGGGGGAGAAATGCAGGCACCTCCTTTCCCACAGTCCACAGCGAGTGTTTGCAGTGAGGACTGGGGCTGTGGTGAACCGCACGGCTCCCAGGGTAAAGATGAAGCTTGTGTCAGAAAAGGGAAGGCCTTTCCATGTACCTTGGCAGGGAAATCCCATTAGGAAGTTCTCACATAGCAAACCGAAAGTCAAGGAGACTGTTCCTGAGAACAGACACGGTAACTAAAGGAAGAGCCACCCCAGAGAACCTGTTCCCCACGTGATACCACGAAGTGTTACCGATGGGTCTGGAAGATAAATTTACCATAAAGGGAAAAGGTTCTTAACCGTGGGGAAATGCCTGGAGAAAGGACCACGCGTTATCAAATGGATACAGCAGATTACACAAACTAACAGCATAACGAGTCACGACAGCCTATGTTATCGATGCGAACTTCTTCCACTTTGCTGCTTTTGCAGTGGCAATGCCCTGACAAAACCACAGTCTGGAAGATTTTTTAAGACCGGTCGTACAGTTCACACCCCGAGGCTCCTGGAGAAGTTTTGCACACCTGGACCCCTTTCTCCAACGTGTGCCCCATGCATGCGAGCATGGGGGGATGCAGCGGCGCGGCTGCACCCTCGTTCTGACCACATCGTAGGAGCAGCGGTGCACGGGCAGTGGCAGGCGAGCTCCCCCTCCCTGCCTGGTCCCCCCTGGGGGTTTCCTGCCAGCCTGGGAGAAGGCACGGGGATGGGGAAGTTGCCTGCCACGCTGACCCCAACCCCCACGTAGCCTGGTTAAAGCTGGGCCTGAGCAGCACTGGAGCTCCCTTCACCCCAGGACAGTGGGCTGGGGAGGGGGCAAGGGCAGGGGAGGGGAGATGTGCCTGAGCAGGGAGGGGAAGGAGTGGAAATTTTCACCTGCTTTAGACACTTTAAAAAGTCCCCGATTGCTGCTGCTGTGGTGCGGAAGGGAGGAAGGCTGATACAGTCTCCCACAACATACTTGCAGGCGAGCTGAGGAAGTTCGGGTTGGATGAACGGACTGTAAGGTGGACAGAAAACTGGCTGCATCATCAAGCTCAAAGGGTAGCGATCAATGGTTCGATGTCTAGTTGGCAGCCAGTCTCAAGTGGAGTGCCCAGGGGCAGGTTTTGTTCAGTATCTTCATCACCGACCTGGAAGACGGGATGCGGTGCACCCTTAGCAAGTCTGCAGGTGACCCCAAGGTGGGGTGAATGGTAAATACGCTGGAGGGTCAGGCTAGGATTCGGTAAGACCTCATGTAATTGGAGGATCGGGCCAAAACAAATGTCATGAGGTTTAACAAGGACAAGTGCAAAGTCCTGCGCTGAGGAGGGAGCGATCCCCTGCACCGGTGCAGGCGGGGGGTGACGGGCTGGGCAGCAGCTCTGCAGAAAAGGACCTGGGGGGGGACAGGGGACAAGACGCTGAACAGGAGCCGGCAGTGTGCCCGTGGTGCCAAGAAGGCTACCGGCATCCCGGGCTGCATTGGTAGGAGCGCTGCCATCCCGGGCGGCATTGGTAGGAGCGCTGCCAGCAGATCGAGGGCAGCGATTCTTCCCCTCTGTTCAGCACTGGGGAGGCCACATCTGGAGTCCTGCGTCCAGCTGTGGGCCCCCCACTACAGAAAGGATGTGGACAAGTTGAAGGGAGTCCAGTGAAGGGCAGCAAAAATCGCTGGGGGACAGGACTGGTGCGGAGAGGCTGAGGGAACTGGGCTGATGGAGTCTGGAGAAGAGCAGACCGAGGGGGATTGAATAGCAGCCCTCACCTCCCTGCAGGGGGGCTGCAACGAGGATGGAGCTGGGCTGGTCTCAGTGGGGGCGGATGGCAGGACAAGGAGCAATGGGCTCAGGCTGCAGCAAGGGAAGTTGAGGTTGGATATTAGGAAAAACTCAGTCACGAGGAAGGTGGTGAAGCGCTGGACCAGGCTCCCCAGAGAGGACGGGAAGTTTCCATCCTTGGAGGTTTTGAAGACCCGGGTAGACAAAG